GAGCTGGGACTGTTCATCCAGACAAGAGAAGGCTTGGAGGGGGATCTTATCATTGTACATGAATACTTGGAGGGAGGGTGTGAAAAGGACAGAGCCAAGCTCTTGTCAGAGTGCCCAGAGACAAAACAACAGGCACTGGGCACAAACTGAGATACAGGAGGAGCCCTCTGAACATCAGGAAACATTATTTTACTGTGAGGGTAACCAAGCACTGGCTCAGGATGCTCAGTGAGATTGTGGAGTCCCTATCCTTGGACATAGTCAAAAGCCATCTGAACATGGCCACTGGCTCTGGGTGGCCATGCTTGTCAGGGGGAAGTTGGACCAAATGACTCCCAGAGGTACCTTCCAAGTTTGTTCTGTGATTTTGTGATGTATTGGGTACAACCTATTCATCAGGAAAATTTAGGATAGAATTTTCTTCTGGTAGGAAAGTAATCAGAAGTCTTTAATGGGGAAACTCCTATTTATAGAAAGGAAATGCAGTCTTAAGTTTATGCAGTTGCTAGCTAAAAATTTTGAGAGCCTTTTTTAATGGTACTATTATGTATCACCTTCCAATCCAAGTAGCATGTAGCAAATCAGGCTATTAGGCTTTCTGTCAACCTCTAGTGCTTCAGAGAAGCTGGTAAACTATAAGAGAAACATACACAGTCCTGCAGTCCCATATAGCCTTAGTTTATTTTTCCTCTGGCTACTGTTTTGATGCTTCACTTTGTGTACATGTAAACATGCATTAAGATAAGACAGCAAATACATAATTTCTTTTCTTGTGCTTCATCTCACTGCTCTGTTTATAGTGATTTTAGTAATGTGGAAAAGAGAAGGGTGAGTGCAGCAAAGTCATACTTGCAAAGTGTCTTGGTATGCAAGACCTTTAAGAGCATGAGATTTAAATCGAAATGTAATAATAATTCGGTATAATGAATTGGACTTTCGCCAAATATGAAAGTGTATCCTAATTTGATCTAATTCACAGATGAAAAATCCACCAAAATTTATTAACTGACATTAATACCACCGGTAGCTCCAAAATGTGGTGCAACTCACTGCTGGATGAAAATATATATGGGAGCGGTATTGGTATAGAATTCTCCTGGGTTTATATTCTTCAGTAGGCACCTGCCACCATCTACTGTATGGTGCCAGCTACTGAGCTCAGTGGGTGATTGATCTGACACAATACAGAAAGTATTGTGTCAAAAGCTCCAAAGGTTTTTGTCCTTCTATGTTGGTCACTATCATTCTGTTCATGCTGGTCCTGTTTTCCAGACTTGGTTCATGCTAAGTGTACAAGTCCAAGCCTCCATCCCTTTCAAAGAGGCTCAGGTGACCTGTCCTTGTACAGATACTTCACTTACATCTGTGGAGCAGTCAGTATTCACCAGGGAAGCTTGGGCAAGTTTCCCCATCATCTTTTTTTGGGAAAAAAAAGAACATATAAAAAAGTCATGCAGTTCCATAAAGAAGTACAGTGTAAGAGTCAAAGTCTGGCTGGATATATTTGTGATGACTTGGTACAAGTGTTGTGCTTGGTGATCGTAAAGTGTGAGCAATTTGACTCAAGTGTTTTAAAAAATGAAAATACCTAAATGCTTAGGAATGTAGTTACCATACAATTCATTCACAGAGAATGGGCTGCCATTCTCCCCTCTCTCAGTCAAGGGAACATTTTAAGCTCTATGTATGAGACTTCTCTGTTAAAAATGACACTTTTGCTAACTTAATGAGCATTTATACAGTGGTAGCTAGTGTGAGAAAGCTGAGTCAGGCTGTGCACAGCAACTGTGATTTGGTCAGCTTTTCCCAGAGATTCAGCACAATTAGGGAAGAGAACTTGCTGGTGAGTTACACCTGAATATAGGGACTGTTGCTCCCACCTCTCTGGCATTTATCAGGTGATCAGTTACATGCTGCATGCAGACTCGTGGGCTTGTGATTTTTATATTCAAAAAATTTAGATATTTTAGTTTGTTTTCAGTCTTCAATTATGAAAATAATAAAGATGATTCTGATGAAGGACCTTTAGTGAGTAGACTATTTCACTTAAAAGAATCAGTGTCAGAAAATGCTTTTCTTTTCTCTCATGAACAAAATCACAGATCTCGAGAGCTAGAGATCCAAGATGTGGTGTTTCTGCTGAACTAGGAATTACACAAATGGCAAAGTATGTCACACTGTTTTGTTTCACTCTCTTTTACTAACTCTATTTTTTAATGTTGCTGATGTATCTTCTCGGAATATTTGTTCTCTGAAGGCAGCTCTGATCTGGCTTGTTAGCATATGATTCACAAACATGCCATATATGGGCCATTTTAACTGCGCTAGGCAAACAAAATTGTATTAAAAGTTACAAAATTGTATTAAAAGTATTAAAAGTATTTAGACAATATTTAGAAAAATGGTTTTTTTGACCAGAAGCCACACTCTTCTTCTCAGAAGGCAGAGTCCCTTCCTTCTGCTACCTGCAAGGTTTTGACATGGTACAGAATAACCTCCAGGTTGTGGCCAAAACCAAGATAAGGACTAAGCACTTGCTCCAACAGTGTGCCTTTGTTGGAGCCAGAGAATGAGCCTTCACAGCTCTTTTGTAGCGCAAGGAGTTTTCCTTACCGTGAATTTGGAACTGTTACATTATTCTTGAATAGCAAAGCCATGAAGAAATTATGCTGGGGGCTAATTAGGATCTCTGTTTGCGTCTTAGTCAACTCTATATCACAGGAGAGGAAACTGGGGATAAATTGGACTGAGTGTCCAGGCTTCAACATATCCTCAAATCCAATGGCCAGCTGTGATGGACCATTTGGAATAGGGCTGCCCCTTTCATTTTTAAAAGTGGTGCCTTCAGACATCAGCATTCAGGATGGCAGGCTTTTGCCTTCTGTGTGCCAGATCAGAATGAACTGCCAGGCATGGGTTTCTTCCCTGTGGTGGTACATGGAGAGCAATCCTTTGCTCTCAGGATTCCCAGTTTCTAACACCAGATACATGGTGTTAGAAATTGGGGATCCTGAGAGCAAAGAAAATAACTGCACTTTAAAGGTGATTTGCTTTTCCAGCCACCTTTTACATTCCCTGCTTGTGTCAGGCTATTCATGCAACATATGAACCTCTACCTTATTAAACTTATTTGCATAAGCACAGTGGGTGTTTTTCTGGAGAAATATTTCAGCTAATAAAATGAAGGACGTGCCATCCAAAATAAATAACATAGCCATGGGTAAAGGCAAGCTCAAGTCTGTAAATGTCTAACACTTTTAATATGTCAGGTATGACTGGTTAGCACAAGGATATCAAGTGGCAGATTCAGAACAGTATGGTTTGCAGAAGCAAAGTAGATACTGTTTTGTATAAATTAAATACAACATGATGTGATGGTCCATTCCAAAAGCCATGAAGTGGGAAAGCAGGGACCACAAAAAAGTAGAGTTGTGAGGGTGTGAACTTGAAATTATCTCTGTTACACACAGAAGATATTTCTGGGAAATATTGAGTTTGCAATAAACCAACCAAAACTTCATGCTTCAGTTTGGACTTTCTGGTTTTATTCTATGAGAATCTGCTTTTCCCGCCTTTCCCCTGAAATTCTTGTCTTTCTCCTTAAAGGTTTGTTCTACTTCCCTCTGTCTTTTTAATGAACTTTGTAGTGGGAGAGAGCTCTGCCCTGGTACAGGAATTCTGAGAATACAGAGAAAAGTTGTGTGCCATTTAAAAGGAAATAGAGGAGGTCAGCTTCATCAGAGGCCTTGTTACTTTATATTCAAAAAGAAATGTGCTCTAAGCACCTATTGTTAGCCGTTCTTCAACCCTGCTTCCAGCTTTGAAATGTAGGAACTCACTCTCTTACAGAAGGTTTTCTCTAAGGATTTTGGGGGAAATTTTTTTTTTGTGCAAATGTTATTTCATAGAATGGAATTTACAATGGCAGTGAATAGATATAAGATAGTTAAGCAACAGAATAAATCTCCTCAGTTTTATGAAGACACTGAGTTTCTGCCTACTTTCTCCAAAGCGTAACATGCCAGGACAAATCCTGAAATCTGTTTCACTCAAGATTTTGTAGACAAAATGCTAATTTAAGTTATTGAGAGCACTACTCCAGGGAAAACATAAAATCTGGGAATTGCAGTGCATGCCTCTTAAACAAGGAGTTTCAGACAGGGAAACAGGAACTTCTCAAAAACTTCTAATATCCCACTTTAAGCAGAAACTTGAAATTTGAGGACTTGAGTCTCACAGAATAAAACTAAACACAGTTCATGGAATATCCCAGTGTCAAGAGTACAATGCATTACGGAACTTAGCCTCCCAACTTTTATTTTACAAGTTTTACAAATATTTTTTTTAGCTCTTAGTGAAGAAATGAAAATGTTTGAGTTTGCCACATTCAATACGTAAAACCAAAAAGTGTGGTTGACAATTTTCTGTAAATTTGTCTACTTTTGAGCATGTCTGTGGGATCACAGTAGTTTTAAGTTAAAGATTAAAACTTAAAGGCATAAGGAAAATTTGCATTTGTAAGAAACAATTTTTTTGCAGTTTTCTGGCCCATTATTTCAAATGATTAGCCTTTTGAAATTTGACCACCAAATCTATAAAAAATGTAAGGAAAAGATCATGCAGAGAAAATTTTGAGATGACAACTTCTTTTTTGGTTGAAATTAAAGTAGTATATGATACACCTCAAGTTTTAGACTAAAAATGAATTTCAGTTTTATAAGGACATGTGGATGTCTCAGAATGAATTCTGCCAGACCAGAAAGGCTCAACTAATTGTAGTTATATTGTGTGAAGGTGTTGCCTGAAAGAGCTTTTTTTCCCCAAGCTTTCAGAAACTAGTGTATTTCAGCACTTCTGAAGTAAATTTAAATACAGGCTTTTAGATTACTTTCCACCTCAGAGATCTTCCACTATGACAAGAAACTAATTTCAGGAAAATTTTCTCTTTCTAATAAAGATTATTTTTTCTTCCTCTTTCTGACTTCCCATTTCCTGTCAAGTCTGAAGTGTCTTGGATCCCCAACAAACACTACTCTGGGATTTACGGGCTGATGAAGTTGGTTCTGACTAAGACTCTACCTTCCAATCTTGAGCGAGTCATTGTTCTCGACACAGACATTACATTTGCCACTGACATTGCTGAGCTATGGGCCGTCTTTCACAAGTTCAAAGGTATTTTAATGATTTTTTTTACTGTCCTTATTTGAGGGGTGGGGGGAGAATGATGAGGCAAGCAATACAGTGTGGGTGAAAGGGCTAGCTGAGATTTTGTTAAATGTTTTCACTCTTTCAGTTTTTGGTGTTTGAATGTAATTTTTCTCTTTGTGATCTCTTTTCTCAATGATGTTCTGTATAGATTAATTGACAACACTGGTTATCTATGTAGTTTGGTTTATTGGTCTGATTATTTGGGGCAGGTGAGAGCCTGACAATACAGTAGATGATAAAGAATTATGAGCATGCTGTAGTTATGTACTGTTCAATACCTTTTGGAAGAACTTGGGTTTTATTATTTTTTTAATTAATAAAACTTAATTATTACTTTCAATTTACTGTTCCATGTAAACACTGAAAATGAATGAAGTTGGGATCATTCTTGAACTAGGGAGGAAGAAGAAGGGAACAGAATTACACATGTGAATAGAAATAAGTTGCTGTTTGATCCTCTTAATAAGTTGATAAAGGGGTCTGGATTCTAAGCACCTAAAATAGCTTTCCCTACCTATTCCCATTTGCCACAGCTCCTTGCAAATGTATTTCATAGTCAGTCTGAGAAAGAACACTTTTAGAGTAACTCTATAAGGAGATGATTACAAAAAAGTTCCCCTACTACCCTGTCACAAAGCAGAGCACTTTCTGGCTAGCACACCACTAAAACCATTTAATTCTCCCAGGTTCCAGTGTTGCCAGCTGTTAAGAGTCAGAGACATACCCTATTGTTCTCCTCTTGCCCTCAGCATATGTATTGCAGTGCTGATAAGTGCAGAGACAATCCAGCATCCTGCTTGAAAGGTTTACAACCCTGTAAAAGTGTAGCCTTGATGTGTTTCATCATCTCTCTCAAAATCATCTCAAGCTAAGTCAGCCTAAGCAAATGGGAGTATTTATTTAGAGAAGCCAAAATACACCACTGCATCAGGAGGGAGCCAGGAAAGAGCACGATTACTGTACTTATCCCCTGCTGAAATCCACAAGGCCTGCTTTTCTCAGTACCCAGCTCCGGGACAGGCCCTGTTATCTTAGCTCTATGTCAAGGACTGGGTTCTAGTGCTTACTTCTTCATGCATTTGTTTCCATTCTGTGTATCCTTCTGTGGATACACTGATGTCTTTTCAGCAAGCCAGAAGCAGTCACCTTTTTGCTTGATTATTCTCAAGCTTCTTTCATTAAGGAATATACAATTTTTCCTCCATGTATTGTTCAGATCTCTTCACCAAGCCTTTCCCTCCACTGAACCTTGAGTTTCATGTAAACAAACATATACCCTGACAATCTTAAGTAATATAAATGTATGCATAGGAAGTAAAGCTGGGCTATTGTACTGTCTCACTGTGTGCAGCTGTCCCATTAATAGCCATATTTGACTGACTGCAGTGAATAGCATGTCATAGCAGGAAAAGAAATGTGGATAAACAGAACTTGGACATAGAGGGCTGCATGGTCAAAGAGAACAAAATCGGAGTTGAGACAATAAGGGGTATTGTCTCCTTGCTTATAATTTCTGTCATAATTTTAATGAAGATCCCTTGCTTTTATTACAGGGGTGATAAAACCAAGCATAAAGATTGCTTGTAAAAAGAGGAATATGGAGCAGAGGCAGATATAAGATTGAAAGAAAATACAGGCAGAAAATATGAAAATATGGAGAAGAATAATTAATGGATGTAAAATGTCTGTGCAAATCAGTCTCCATAGAGCTAGGCAAGAATGTTCGTCTGATCAGAGCTGTGAAAAACTTTAACTTACACATGAAGTCAGAATTCTTGTGCTGCTGCCCTTTTAACATACATAGCACAACTCCCAAATGAATGATTTTGTAAGTTGTCCCATGTGTCTTTTCAATTCCAGCTGATCACCTGCTTCTCCAAAGTTTTTTAATCTTGGCAATAAATTGGTCAGTGTCTACATCTGCTCATCTCTCAGGCAGTTGTGCACAAACAATGAGTAGATGTTGTAGCTCCAGGCGTTGAGCTGGGATGGGAGAAGACTTTGGATCCTAAATGCTGCGGAGGAGAAAGGAAGTGTCCAAGCACAGGATTGTTCTCCAGCCCGTGCCATAGGCTGCAGTTCCATTAGCAAAGGTGACCTCCATGATGGTGACATCAGAGTTGAGTATTCAGGGTAAGAATCAGAGGGAGAGCCAACAACGCAAATACCATGGTGAGAGTCTGTTGTAGGCCACTCACATGGGATGAGGAGGCACAAGAAATATTCTGTAAGCAGCTGGGAAGTCTCACAGTTGCTAGCCCTTCTTCTTGTGGTGGGCTTGAATTTACCAGAGAGGTAAGTTGAACTTACTTAGCAGAGGTCTGCTGGAAATACAACACAGAGGAGAGGAAACAGTCCAGGAAGTTCCTGGAGTGTGTGGAAAATTATTTTCTGACCCAGCTGGTGAGGGAGCCAGCCAGGGGCAGTGTCACAGACATCTTTTGTGAAAATCCTTTTCTTTAGGATTTTTTCCCTTCCGAGAAGCTGAGGCCTCAGAAACAAAATGTAAACAATGGTTATCTGCTGCTGTGGAATGCATCAGGTGTGTCTGTGATTGGGCCATCTTGAATGTTTACAATTAATGGCCAACCACAGACCAGATGGCTTGGACTCTCTGTCTGAGCCACAGATCTTTGTTATTCATTCTTTTCTATTCTTAGCTAGCTTCTGAGGAAACCTTTCCTTTTGTTCTTTTTAGTATAGTTTTAATGTAATATATATCATAAAATAATAAATCCAGCCTTCTGAACATGGAGTCAACATTCTCATCTCTTCCCTCACCTGAAGACCCCTGTGACCACTGTCACAGGGCAGTGCCTGGCTGAATCTGTCAGCAGATCTTGCTAACCAGGGAGGTCCCAGTGGGCTGGAGATGAATAAATGCAATGTCCATTTACAGAAAGGACCGGAAGGAGAATCTGGGGAATTAAAGGCCTATTGGCCTGACCTTGGGGCCAGGGAAGATCATGGAACAGGTCACCTTGATTGCTGTCCTGCAGCGTGTGCCGGATAACCAGGCAATCAAGCCCTGTCAGCATGGGTTTGTGAAAGACAGGTCCTGCCTGACCCACCTGAACTCCTTCTGTGACAAACATGGCTCTCCTTAGTGGATGAGGGAAGGGCTGTGGGTGTTGTCTACCTAAACTTTAATAAAGCCTTTGACATGGTTTCCCACAGCATTCTCACAGAAACTGGCTTCCCATGGCTTAGACGTGTTCTCTGGATAAAAACCTGGCTGGATGGCTGGGCCCAGAGAGTGGTGGTGAATGGAGCTGAGTACATTTGTCAGCCAGTCACCGGTGGTGTCTCCCAAGGCCCAGTATTGGGGCCAGTTTGATTTAATATCTTTGTCAATGATCTGGGTGGGGGGATCGTGTGCGCACTTAGTCAACATCAAGTTGAGTGGGAGTGTTGGTCTGTTGGAGGGCAGGAAAGCTCTGGACAGGAGGGATCTGGACAGGCTGAATCTATGGGCTAAGACCAACAAGGCAAAGTGCCAGGTTCTGCACTTGGGTCACAACAGCCCTATGCAGCACTACAGGTTTGGGGCCGAATGGCTGGAAAGATCCAGTGGGAAAGGATCTTTGGGTGCTTGTCAGCAGCAGCTGAACATGAGCCAGTGTGGGCCAAGGTGGCCAAAGAAGGCCAATGGCATCCCGGCCTGTATCTGCAATAGCATGGCCAGCAGGAGCAGGGCAGGGATTGTCCCTCTGTTCTCAGCACTGGTGAGGCCACACCTCAAGTCTTATGTTCATTTCTGAGCCCTTCACTGCAAGAATGACATCGAGGTGCTGGAGCATGTCCAGAGAAGGGCAGCATAAAATTTCTTAATAGAAAGGGTTGACAAGCATTGGAACAGACTGCCCAGGAAGTTGTCACCATCCCTGGCTGCATTTCAAAGCTGTGTAGATGTGGCATGTAGGGACGAGATTTAGTGGAATGGACTTGGTAGTGTTACTTTGATGGTAGGATGTAAAGGTCTTTTTCAACCTAAATGATTGTATTTTCTGTCATTCAATGGAAATGGAAGGAAGGGCAAGTAATTTGGAGTGATATGATAATCTTTTACTGCTTTGTAAATGTTTGGCTTAATTCTGTGGTGATTCTCAATTTTTCTGAAGTGTCTTTTTATTTCTCCTGCCTGCATTACAAAAGATTGAAAGATTGTCTCATGTCACGAGCCCCAAATATTCCTCCAAAGGATATTTTACTAAACTAATGTTTTAATCTCTTCCTTGTTTCTCTCATAGAAGTCCCTGGTAAGTTCGTGAAGATTTCTTGGGGGCAATCTAGAATGTTTGTTGAAATGTTACATAAACAGAAGTACAATAAAACTCCTATGAAGGGAAATGCTAGTCTCCAAAGGAGCCTCTCATGACACCCAACCCCAGTTAGGAGGGCAGCTTTAGACCCACTGGGTCTCCTTCTAGAGATACTTCAACAACCAGTTGCTGGCTAGAAGGCACCATTATAAACCTGCCTACACCACAATGCTTTTTGTGCAAACTAAAGAATTTTTCACATCAGTGCAGGAAAGGCAAGAACTTCGGTCTCCAGGTTGCTGCAACATAACTGATGAGGCAGTCCAGAATATCCTTTTCCAAATTGCAGCCACACACAGAGGGAAGGTACTAGGGTCTGTGTTTCTTTCTGTGCCTGGGAAGACTTTTCTTCCCAGCAAAAACAGTGATAAAGGGAAACCAGTAGCTCAGATTCCTTTTTTCTTGGACACCATGCTTGGAAGAAACTCAGATTCAGGACTGTCTTGTAATCTAACCAGGTCTGATTTGCTGTGTGGAAGGGCCTACAGTATGTTTTAAACAGCACCTGCAATACCCAAAGTCCTTGTTCTGCAAAGGTTCTTATTCCAGTTATCTTAAGAGTTGCTGGAAAGATCAGACCCTTACATAGTTATGTAATATTTTAGGTGGTAAAGGTACTACTCCATTCGCTCTGTAGATGGA